CTTTTTGTTTTTTTTTTTTTTTTTTTTTTTTTTTTAATAAATAGTTCTTTAAAAAAAAAAAAAGTGAGGTCTGAGTCAGCAAATGGTACAGAGGCAGAGGCGGCTGGATCCCACATGGCCAACTGGGTGGTTCAAGTCCCAGACCCCACAGTCTGCGGAGCACATCTGGTGTGTATGCACCGAGAGGAAAGAGAAGAGAGGGGACTGCAGCGTGGCCTTCCGCCAGGAGTGATCTGTCTCTCTCTCTCTCTGTCTCTGTCTCTGCCTCTGGCAAGCACACATGCCCCAGAGCAAACTAAACAAACAAGTGGGGCCTTTGGAGAGAAATGAGGACTGAGGTCATTTGGGTGTTGTCCACACCTCCGCTCTGGTGGGTGTGCGAGAAGAGAGGGTGAGGCGGGAACGGGAAGGAGTGCCTGCTCTGGCCCCGGCCATGTCGCTGGGACTCTGCACGACCCCCACCAGCTGTGGCCCTCAGAAGCTAAACCTCTATCTCCATAAATCTCCCAGTTGCAGATACTGTCTTTGCTGGCAACCAAACAGACCACGCGGGACTCCCTCGGGCTCCTCAGCTCACACACCACCCGCCACTCAAAGGGGCTGAGCTGGCTTAGCGCGACGCTCGCCCCTCCTCCCTCCGCCCCTTCCTCCTGGCGGTCAGCACCATCGGGAATGGTCGGGAATGGCCGTTTTGTTGACCTGCTTCTCATCTGGTCCCGTCCTGAAATGGGCGTTTCCCCAGGAGGAGAGCCTTAGGCCGCCTCCCTCACCCTTAACCCTCGACATCTAGAAGGAGGCCTAGCTCAGGGCAGAGGGCCAGAGCCTGGGTGCAGGCTGTGAACAACTTCCCCACGGCCTGCACCCGCTTTTTGCTTTTAGGTTTACTGCCACAGGGTGCGTGCAATCACTGGAGAGACGGGGGCAGTGAGAAATCAGCCGCCAGGCACGGACGGCCACACCACAATCCCGTCGCCATTCTCCTCTCAGTCTTGGGCACACACGCACTCACATCCAGCGTGAGTTTCCAGGTTGAGATTTCAACCGTGGGTGGCCATGTGGGCTCCGCCTTAACCCCGTGCCACCTACCGGCCCACCCGACTGTTCTTTATACCCAAACAGCGCTATACGCTGGCACCTCACGCGACCCTTGGCCCTTGCGAGGCACTAATAAACGTCTCATTTAAACACCTGTTGAACGAACACATTCGAGGGCGGCTGCGATGCTTTCTAACACAGTAGCCCTTAACGTACAGCGAGGAGACCCAGATCGAGTACAGAACACCCACTTTCAAGCCTAACAGTCCCTGCTAACCTGATCACCAACTTTACAACATCGCGCATGGACAGACTGGAATGGTGCCGTAATAACTCACTCAGCGATCTTCTTCGAAAGCTCCATACACGATGAGTTAGAATTCGCTGAGAACAAAACCAGCCCTCCTTTGGTTATGTTCATCTTGGTTTCTAATTCAGGTGGCGCTACACAAAACATCAAAACCTTCTTGGTGTTCCAATCCTCAGAGCCTAGAAAAATACAACGTAGATTAAGACCTGCCACGACATACATAAACATACCTGAGTATTTTTTTCACTAGCAAATTCCTTCGGTTGAAGGAAACTAATTTTCACCATAATGGTGTCTTTTATATTATGTTATCTATGGATGAGCAACGTTTATTTGGGGTCTGGCCCCATGGCCTAGTGGTTAAGGGAGCAAGATCCCACATGGGGGAACTGTGGTTCAAGTCCCGGCCCCGGACACTTGGAAAACATGCTGGGCGTGGGTGCGTGCAAGCCTAAACTCCCAACAGGACGGAGAAATGGAGAAGGGACTGTGATGTGACCATGCTCCACTGGGGGGTGCTTTCTCCCTCGCTCTCTCTCCCTGCCTCTCTCTGGCAAGCACACATGCCGTCTGGCGATTAAAAAAAAAAAGTTAATTTGGATTCCAAGTTTATGGAAATAGTTATCACAAGACTTCATTAGTTTTCATAACCACTGGGAGAAAACGGTAAACTTACAAGAAAGGTGGAGCTGGAGAGCTCAGTGTTTTATGTTTGCTGCTTAAAGTCAATTATGGACAACCTCCTGTTATTCTCTGACAACCAAATTCCTCCTGGATTAACACACAGAAAAATGGCAGAGCCATTAGCAAGGACACGGACTGATTGATCTTTAAACAGAGAATAAATGACCCGGCTCCTCTCCGGCCCTTCCTGGCATGCCTCTTTACCCTAAAGTCTCCCCCCCCCCCGGCCACTCGGTTGCCCCTTTGCTGCCTTGTCATGTCCAAACCTGACCCTGTCACCTTCGTTTTCCTCACGGGAGCCCAAGGCTGAGTAGACGAGAGCCCTGTAAGCGAGCACCCAAATGCAGGGGCAGAGCGCAGATAGAAAGGACGCTGGCTAGAAGGCCTCAGGGCTGAGGTCCCAGCCCCACCGGCTCTGGGCTGCGTGCCTTCACCCTGCGGTGGGGTGCTGGGTGGAAGGGACAGCAGAGATCCCTTCGGGTCCTGGGCGTGCAGACGGGCAAGCCGCTGCCTCACCTGCTGCGCCTCACCTGCTGCGCCTCACCTGCTGCCTCACCTGCTGCGCGTTTGCCGGGACGGCTCTGGGAGGCCGGGAGGTTAACATGGGCGAGACTGAGCTGGCAATCTGCTACTCTTACATTCGAGCTACACAATACGCAGGCACACAAGCTAAAGTCCCAGCCCCGATCCCAGGCCCTTCTCCAGCCTCCTCCCCAGAAACGAGGGCTCTTGTTCGCTGGGATGGTTACCATCAGGCCTGTTCTATGACTCACACATGGGGGCTCCGCAACAAGTACATACAAGAAACACATACGCTGTTTTCAACACGAAAGGTGTTGTCAAACACATCTACCCATGATTTGCTTTTCGGCTAAACGAAGTATTTTGATAATGTGGATTAGAAAGTGGACCTAGGGCCAGCCCCCATAGCCTAGTGATTAAGGGAGCTGAATCCCGAGTGAGTGACCAAGGTGCACATCCCAACCCTGGAGGCTTGAAAAATGCACGTATGGGGGCCAGCAGGCAAGCAAGTGCTTGGTGGTTAAACCACTGGACTCCCACATGGCTGACCACAGTTTGAGTCCCGGACCTGGCAGCCTGCTTTCTCACTTTCCCTCTCTCTCTGTCTCTGGTGAGCACACATACCCTATAGCAACAAATAATAATAAATAAAATTAAATAAGTAATTATTTTAAAAACAAAAAAGAAAAGAAAAATGCATGTATGTGCTTTTTCAAAATCTTGACATAATGGAGGAATGGAAAAGGGATTGCGATGTGATCACACCCCGCTGGGGGACACCTCCTCCCTCTCCATCAGTTTCTGGCAGCATGCACGTCCTTTGGCAAGTAAAAAAAAAGGGCGGGGAAGGAGGTAGCAGGTGGCGGGGTGGTTAAGATGCTGGATTCCCAGTGACGTCTAGTCCCAGACCTTATGCCTTGAAAATCACACCGGGAGCACTTGTGTGCATGCCCCAGATCCCAGGACAATGGAGCAGGGCAGACTGTGGCATGGCCATCTCCTCTGGGGGCTGACTTGTCACGTTCTCTGTTTCTCCCTGTCTCTCTCCAGTAAGCATGCACGCCCCATGGCAAAAGCCTTAAAAAAAAAAAGAAGAAGAAGAAAAAGGTATAAATCTGTGTTCTTTGTTGCGCCATCTGAGCGGACCTCCTGTGCACACGTGCAGTTGCACTGCCAGGTCGCCGGGGTGCAGCTCTGAGTCTCACCACCTGGGGGAGCCTACAGCAGGGTCTGACAACAGGGACACAAGCAGGGGTCAGCAAACCACAGGCCACAGGCCAAATCAAGTCCCTCCAAAGCCTTTTTTTCCCTCCCCCATTTTCAGTTTTCACTGTGGAGCATGCACACTCACCAGAATCAAGCAAAGTGAGCAACCATCCTTCCCCCAGGGAGGCAGCCACCCCGCAACCCCTTCTTCTCCAGCACCCTCTCAGGATTTGGGACACGCGCGTGCGCGCGCGCGCGCACACACACACACACACACACACACACACACACACACACATGCACATGGCATGACTTTTAAGCTGCCAAGTCTGAGACTAGACCTACACAGTGTGCCATGTGGGATCCCACACTTTAACCCCCTCCCCACCCAAATTCTGTTTTCGTCAAACAGGGCCAGCAGGTGGCATATTGGTGAAAGTGCTGGACTCCCACATGGTGGGGTCCAGTTCGAGTCCCAGACTCAACAGTTTGCAAATCATGCCAGGCGCATGCGTGTGTATGTGTGCCCCAAATCTCAGGAAGAAAATGGAGGAGAAGGGATTGTGGCTTGACTAACCCTTCTTGGAGAGGTTAGGGGTGATGGGAGAAGTGGGAGGGTGATTTCTCAATATCTCTCTCTGTCTCTGTCTCTCAGGTGAGCGCATATGCCTTATGGCAAAAACAACTAAACACAACAGCAGCCACACTTGTTCAGATGTCTCCAGATACAACGGTAGAACAGGGGATTCACAAACTCTCTTAAGTCAAACTCCCGTCTGCTGCTCCCTTACCTCCCTCCGCTCACCGTAAGCATTTGTGTCCCTTAGCCTCGGTTCCCTCAACCCCACAACTGTGAAAACCGACCCCACAGGTTACAGTAACGTTTCAGCAAAGCGCTTCACGCCTACAGGACATGCGACACATCCATCCCCTAACGCCATACGCACACCAGGAGGCATCACTTCACAGTCCGAGCCTTCCAGTGGGCGCTCCTTCAAATACAAAGATGCTCCTGAGAGGACCGGGAACGCTCAGAAGGAAAGGGAGAGACCTTGGAGGTAACAGGGCCCACCTGCCAAGACTGCCCCAGGGCCTGAGGCCCACCACACGGAGAGCACGTCATTCTGAATCCTGCCACTGACCATGCTGAGGGTCCTCTGCAGCCGCCACTCACCGACTCTTGTCCTGTCCTTGCAGAGGTACAGCCAGCACCGCCTTTATCACAGGACAGTGCCCACCCGTCAGGTTAGCTTCCTCGAGATACCGCCTGAGGCCCTTTCTCAGCTCTGCTGGCTTCGATGCCCTGCGTCACCAACTGTAACCTCTGAAGTCCCTCTCCGGACACCAGGCTTTGATCACTGAATTCTCTCTCTCTCCTTAAAATTATTATTTTATTTATTTTAATTTGACCAGAGAGGGATAAAGTGAGAGAGAGGGAAAGTGAGAAAGCAAGCTGCCAGGTCCAGGACTTGAACCACGGTCAGCCGTGTGGGAGTCCAGCGCCCTGAACCACCACGCCACCTGCTGGTCCCTGATCACTGAACTAACCAAGGATAACCCTTGACATGACACTGTGATTATTCATGTCCCGAGCTGTTCGACCATAGGGCTGTCTCCAGTTCTCCTCTTCCCTGAGGTTGGGCTCTTCTTAAAGGTTGAGCCTTAAGAAAAGTGAGTCTTAAAGGCTGTACTTGGAAACAGGTTAGTGGTCAGGAGGGGGCTGGCAGGAGCATGGCAGCCCGGGTCTCCACGGAAACGGAGAGTAAAGCGAGCACCCTCAATCCTATGGGCAACAGCTGCTTTTGTTTACCCCCAATTTACTCCAGAACGTGTGAGAATTATTATAGCATGCTCAGAAACACACCTCCAGAGAAAAATCTCAGCTCCTTGTAAAGAACAGAAACACACCTTCTCCAGAGAAAAATCTCAGCTCCTTGTAAAGAGGAAATCAGGGGCCAGCCGGTGGCATGGTGGTTAAGAGCGCTGGACTCCCACATGGCCAACTGTGGTTCGAGTCCCGGACATGGCAGTTTTTTTTTTCCCTCTCCCCCCCCCTCTCTCTCTGTCTCACTCTGTCCCACTGTGGTCAAATTAAAATCAATCAATCAATAAGTTAAATAATTCTTTAAAAAAATCGCAGGCCAGCAGGTGATGTGGAGGGCGAGATGGCTGGATCTCCCGTAGCTGACTGCACAGTTCAAGCCCGGCAGCTTCCGAAGCCCACCAGGTGAGAGTGTGCGCATGCCCAAGAGCCCCAGAGAACGGGGGAGGACTGCAGCGTAGTCCCCTGGAGAGTCATTTCTCACTTTCTCTTCTTTCTTTCTCTCTTTGGTGAGTGCACACACCCTACAGGAAAACTAAAAATACATTTAAAAAATAAATAAAGAGCAAATCACACTTCTCTTTGAGTAAGATTTTGAGACTCTGTCTCTGAATGGAGCCATACTGGAAAAAATCGGACTAGCAGTCATTTAGAAACGACCTATTCATACTCAGGTGGGAACTCGCATGAAAGCGCCCGGTGTGTAGACACCTGCCACCCCAAGACGGCCAGGGCAGGAGTGGGAAGATACCAGCCGCCAGGCCGTGGCGCATCACTCAGCCGTGCTGGGAAAAAGCTTTCCCCACTAGAATTTAAGGTCCAGGGACCAGCACTTAGCATAATGGCTATGTCGCTGGACTCCCACGTAGGCGACCGTGGTTCGAGTCCCGGACCCGGTGGCTTAAACTCACGCCAGGCACGTGTGCATGCATGCCCAAGATCCCGAGAGGAGAATGGAGGAGAAGGGATTGCGGTGTGGCCATCCCCCCTGGGGGGTGATTTCTCGCTTTCTATCTCTCTGTCTCTGTCTGTCTGGCGAGCGCACACGCCCTATAGCAAAAACCTCTTCAAAAAAAAAAAAAAAGAATTTAAGGTCCAGGAAAAGGTTTAAAAACAAACAAACAAACAAACAATAAAACAACTACTGTATTGTCTGCTGCATCCCAAGTACCTAAAACAGCAATGGACACATGGCAGAGGCTCAACAAATGAGCTGCATAAAGCCAGCCCTCGCCGAGTTGCAAGGATTAACAACTGCCATTGAAAGTTGTCTATGAATACTATTTTAGGATATACCTCCTCCCAAGAAAATCTGCCTTTAATATGAATATTGATCACCTGAAGGGCAAAATCGAAATCAGCATTACTCTTCCACGCTGAGACGCCAGGTACTTTGCTCATGTCAGTCAGAATGTCTCCTGAATGTCTCCAGCCCCATAGTCCAGTTTAAACACTGACCACTGGGACTGGATCCCACAGGGCCAACTATGGTTCACATCCCAGCCCCAGTGGCTTGACAATGTTCATGCGAGCCCAAAGTCCTGACGGGATGGAGTAAAAAGGAGAAGAAAGGATTCCAGTGTGACCACAGCTAGCAAGGAGGTTCTCCCTCTCCCTCTGGCAAGTACACTCGTCCTCCGGCAATGAAGTTTTCTTGTGGCTAACATTTACTGAGTGCTCTGAATTCCTGTGACAACCCAATAAAGCAGGTACTAGAATGAGACTCGTTTTAGACATGGGGAAGTGAGATCTAGAGTTGAAGAAACTTGAGCCGGCAGCTGGTGTAGTAATTAAGCGCTGACTCCCACATGGTCGACAGCAGTTCAAGTCCTGGACCCAGCAGCTTGAAACTCACACCAGGCACGTGTGCATGTGTTTCCAACATCCCAGGAGGGGAATGGAAGAAAAGGGACTGCAGTGTGGCCGTACTCCCTGGGGGGTGATTTCTCACTTTCCCTCTTACTGTCTCTGCCTCCCTCCCTCTCTCCCACAAGTGAACATGTCCTATGGAAAACAACTCCTAAAAAATAAAAGAGAGAGCGAGCGAGCTGAGGAAACTTACTCAAGGCTGCTTGACTTCTACGCAGCAGGCGGCTGGTGTGTCCGCCCTGTGGCTTGCTGCTCCTGTGGCTGAGCACAATGGCTGGGTACAGCCTGCCTCGCCCACACAGAAAATTACCTGATTCCCGGCTAAATTCCACACAGGGAGCAGAATCTGACAAATACCCAGATTTTGAAAATGCCTACTGTAAACAGGCCTTGTTTGGAAAACAATTTATATCAAGTGGCAAAGAAAGAACAGAGAAGTTGATACAATATTTCCACTTTGGGGAGTGTCATACAGAAACAGCTACATGTTCAATGACGGGCTGTGGTAGGACTTCTCTGTTGTTGTTTTTGAGCAGGAACACTGCACCAGAATTGCAGTTCCGCAAGTCGTATTAAATAACACTTAGGCTGTACATCCCAGACCCCAAATATTCACCAGCAAAAGTGCTTATGAGCAACGCTAAGTGACACATGGAACTCCGTCTGCAGTCACGCTGGGTAATGAGGAGGGGAGAATGAATAAGGAAGGGGCGTGCTTTAGGGGGTGGTCAAGATGTGGGTGAAGTCTTTTTATTTGTGCATTTAAATCTGTTAAACAGCAGAGACAGATCACACTTCCTCAAGCCCCAAAGCTTCATTCCTCATTTTCATAGTCCTCACAAAAGCTGAACACCCAATTTCGCCAATATTAAAAACCAGAAAAAAATCATCGATGCGTTTAATAGACTGAGGCAAAACATTTTAAGGTAGACTAACACTTCGAAATGCCCTCACGGTCCTCCCCAACCTCGCTGGGCGAGTCCTGGGTGCAAATGCCCGTGTCGGGCGAGGGACGGGAGCGGGCTGGTCCGGGGCTGGTGCGGGGCTGCTCGGCGGCCGTCCCATCCTTCGGGCTGGACTCGCCAACG